AGAGAGGCAGAGGGAGAAGCAGGCTCCCAAGGAGCAGGGAGCCCGATGCGGGACTTGATCCCAGGACTCTGAGATCATGACCTGAGCCGAAGGCAGATGCCCAACCATCTGAGCCACCCAGGCGCCCTAAAGTGCTCTTTTAAAAATGAAAATGAGGGGCGCTTGGGTGGCTCAGTCAGTTAAGTGTCTGCCTTAGACTATGGTCAAGATCCTAGGGTTCTGGGATTAAGCCCTGCATTGGGCAGCTAAGCTGGGAGTCTGCATCTTCCTCTCCCCCTGCATGTGCTCTCTCTGTCAAATAAATAAATAAAATCTTAAAAAAAAAATGAAAATGAATATGAATGAATGAGTGAATGGATGGATGAAGCTCTCTCCCTTGCTTAAAACCTTTCTATGTCTTCTCAATGCCCTTAGAATGAAATCTGAACTAGTCGCTTGGTCTGCTGGTCACGATAACGTGCCAGGCTTCACGACCACACATGGTCAGGCCCCAGCCTGCCTCTTTCCGTATCCTGGCACTCCTCCTCACCTCCTTGTTCACAGTGCTCCAGTCACCCTGACTCTCCTCCATTCCTCAACACTGCCAAGCTTGATTGTCTCGGGACCTTGGTGTGTTGCCCTCTCTGTCTGAAATTCTCTTCTAGGTCTTCGTACACATGGTTCCTTCTTGTTACCATGTCACATTTTCTTTGACCACACTATCTAAAAAACAAAAAAGCCAATACCCCTTTGTAGTCAACCCCAGCTACTCTCTGCCATGTCCAGAATGATAGCACTAGCCACGTGTGGCTATTGAGCACTGGAGATGGGACCAGTCTGAATTTCAATGTGCTGTAAGTGTAAAATATGCAGATTTGAAAGGCTTAGTACACAAAAAAACGCAAAATAGCTAATCAGTACTTTTTACATTAGTTACATGCTGAAATGATAGTATTTTGGAGTTACTGGGTGAGATAAAATATATCATAATTTATGTGTTCCCTTCTACTTTTTCAAATGTGACTATTAGAAAATTTCAATTATCTATATGGTTTGAATATATAGCTCACTTTATAGTTCTATTGGACAGCACTGCTTCATTTCATTATGTTATTTTATTTTGTTAGTTGTACTTATGTGAAATTATTTTTTTTGTTCATTCATTGGCTGTTTCCCCCCATGAGAATGTAGCTCCACGAGAGCAGGGCCCTTGAGTGATTTTTTTCATTGCTGTATCCCAATTCCTAGCACACTGCCTAGCACAAAGAGGGCACTCAGTAAATGTTTATTGAACGAACAAATGATTGAAAACTTCCCAGTCTTTTCTTTCTACCATTTCCATAGGTGTGATAAGAGAGGCCACCAAAGCTAAGAATGTTCTACACTTCAGGGGAAGGAACAAGAGTCCAAGAATATGGCATCTTTGCAACTCTTGTCCTGAATTATGATTTAACGTAATCTCTTCTTGGGTCTTAAGTTCTTGAAGGAAGGGGTCATGGCTCTTGCATCTGTGTACTCCCTTACTGATTAGCAGAGTACGTTCGTAAAAACGTCAGTGACCATAAAGTCACCATAATCACAAAGCTACCACATTTTGAGCATTTATTTTGTGGCATGCACTGTACTAATTATTTATTATATCATTTACAAACTCTGTAAGTTAGGAATTATTGTTTATTTTTACAATGAGAAAACAGGATTAGTAAAGGTAGATTAACTGACTTAAGATGGCCTAGCTAGCTGGTAGAGACCTTCAAATCCAGATCATTCTGATGTCACAGGCCATGCAAACTGTGAATCACCATATTTACGATATAGCACGTGCTTAAAAACTTTTACAGTGATTAACACTAAAAATTACATTCAGTGTAAAAAAAAAAAAAACGGACATCAATAATAGGAATCAAAAGTTACGGGGATAGTCTTCAGAAAGAAGCAAGTGATAGATGACCCACTGTGCCTTTCAATTGCAGTCTTGGGCTTGGCTGTGTCATACCTGACTTCCAGATGCAGGACAAGCAAGCAGCGGTCAGCCATATCCTGGAAAGATTTGGCAAGTTCACTCAGCGTCTGCATGATCTGCTCCGACACTGGGGGCAGATCCATGGTCACATGGCTCTCTTGAGCAGGAGACAGCACTGAAAGGAGAAGAAGAAAACACCAGTCACTGAACTAAATGCCTACAGGTTTGTTTGAAATGACATCTTACTTTGTTGCTCATCACGTTTTTACCAATTTGGCTAATGCTGGTGTGGGCAACATTAGACGTCCAAGACATGGTAGACTATTTCTGTACTTGATTCAACACTGATTGTCTTCAACCAATTCACAGATTGATAGAACAGAACGTCAGCATTGGAAGCGACCATAACAGGAATCCGGCCCGACCATGTGGTCGGTCTATACTTGCGTCTCTTGTACATCTTCCAGTGGTTGCTGTGCTTCTGCTTGCATACTCACATGAATGTTTGTGAAAGAAAACTCAATACCTCTTAAGGCAGCCTATTCCATCTCTGAAAGATGTGACCATCTATATCTACTGATACCTGTTGCCATTAATTTCTAATCACTGTCTCTGATTCCAGCAGCTTGGCAATCATTCTCATATGTGTTAGCACTTCAAGTATTGAAGATACCATGTCTTTTGGCTTCCTTGAAGTCTTCCCTTTTCCAAGCTAACTAACCCCAGTTTTTCAGCTATTCATATAATCAGAGTGAATTATTTTACAATTCTCATAATTTGCCAACAAAACCATTCCAATTGTTCTCTGTCTCCCTTGAAATGTGGCACTCAGGGCCAAACATAATAAATACTACAGAGTAGGTCTGTGCTGTCTAGAGAGAATGATCAGCTCCCTTGTTCTAGATGCTATGCTGCTTGCACATAAGCCTGAAATCTTCTTGGAGGGGGAAGAGGGGTTAGAAGAGTGTGCTGTATTCTACTTTAACTCACACAGAGCTTACAGTCAGCTAAAAGCCCCCAAAGGTCTTTTTGGAAAATCTGATAGAGCTACCTTCTGTATCTCTATCAAGTAACTGATAGAATATTTAAGGCACTTGGACATTTTCTTCAGGAAAATACTGAATAGCAAAAATGTGAACTATATTTATATCTAGACTTCTGTTGCATATCCAGTTCCCCACAATTTCTCAAAGATCACCATCAATTAATTTGGCAATTTCAAATTCTTTTAGTACTCTAGAATTTCCAAGACTGGCTTTGAATCCTGTCTCCACTACTTACTCATTATGTGACCAAGAGCTAAATGCTTAAATTATGTCTGCCTCAGTTTCTCACTGTAAAATGGAGATAATACTACCTACCCCATGGGGTTTGGGGGAGCATTAAATGGGTTAATGTGGGTAAAACACATAGAATAACATCATATCAACCTCACTTAATATTAATACAAATAATAAGCAATTATTATTATTCTTTAGCATGTGATTTGTCCAGGTTAAGAGTCTTAAGCTTAATTATAGCGACACGGTACTTAAAAGATAATTCCATCTTGAGATTCCATTATCGGTATTTTTTGCTTTTCCACCTGGAAGTTCTTCTGTCAGAGAATGCAGAGTCTTTCGGAAGAAGGGCACTTAGGGCACGTGAGATCTGGCAAAGCATCACTGACTAGCTCAGGAGGGGTTCACCTTGCAGGGTAGAGTCACAGGTGGCTGCAGCAGAGTCTACAGCCACAGGCTTTCAGAGCTGCATCTGTTTCTGGACTTTGCTAAGCCCAGAGAAGGGCCTAGAAAGACAGTCCAGCCTCATAAGGCCAAGTTCTCCTCTGGGAAACCAGACTTGAATAAATTAAGATTTATGGCAAAGATTAAACAAAAACCAAACAAATTCGGGCCAAGGGAACTGATCTGTAAGGAAGAATGAAATGTAACAGGGGCGCCTGGGTGGCTCAGTTGGTTAAGCGACTGCCTTCGGCTCAGGTCATGATCCCAGGGTCCTGGGATCGAGCCCTGCATCGGGCTCCCTGCTCGGCGGGAAGCCTGCTTCTCCCTCTCCCACTCCCCCTGCTTGTGTTCCCTCTCTCGCTGTCTCTTTCTCTCTGTCAAATAAATAAATAAAATCTTAAAAAAAAAAAAAGAATGAAATGTAACAGTGTAGATTTAAAATTCCTACCAGCCTTGGCATCACTCAAGAGACTCCCTAACTCCATTGGCAGGAGAGTGGATACGTGGCATGGCTCCCCCTCTCCGCGGTTAACACTGCCCAGCTTGTAGGATTGCAAGGCGAGATCACTGCCTTCGTAATGTTTTCGTCTGGCAGGCCAGATGAAAGCAACTATAAGTAACACTATTCTAATACTTCAAAGCATGTTAGGGCTTTTGAGCCCCTGGACTCTGCTGTTGAATGACACTGTGGTTTGAGAGCTCTTTATGTGCCAGTGATAAGGGGCAGAAATCAGCCCTGAAGACAGCAGACTCATGGCTTAAGGTTCAAAGTCATACCAATCTCCTAAACTCTATCAAAGACATTCTGGACAAATTCCACCGAGAAAGTTAAAAAAAAAAAAAAAAATCCGAGTTAATGGAAGATAAAGAGTCAAGATAAAACTTGGGATGAGTGAGGTAAAAGGAGGTTAGAAAAGCAGCACATTGCACATTTCGCTTGACTGTAATCTACAACAAAAACACAACATTTTAGTAAAGCAACATGAAAACTCATGCCCAGAGTTCTATTGAAAAGCCAGCCTGTGAATTCCTGAGGGCTCACTGAAATTTACAAAGTTTTCTTAACAAGAAGGAATATGCTGAGCAAAAAAATGCTGAGCATGGCAAACAAATACAACACAAAACAATGAACTCTCTCTTAAATGTCAAATGGAAACCTACAAAAGAGCAATGCTGACAGAATTGGCTTGGGATACAGTCGAGATAGGAGGTTACTGGACACACACCTGCGCACATATCCTTTTAGAGGCTACGTGGTGGTTTATCTCAGGGATTACTCTTTGTATCAGCAAAGCCCACATCTATTGGACTTTAAAAATATTAGTACTTGATCATTTTATTAAGATACACACTTTGAGCTGTTCTGCTAATACTAGGGATGGGTCACATCAGATCATTCATAACATCCTGTTCATCTTATAACCACTGTATGAAAGCAGGCATCTTTGAGACTCCTAGCTAACTAATCATGGCAATGGAACTGTGGCTTTCTGTACTAAACTGACTGGTCTACAGGAGGATGCTGAAGCTTGCTCTCTGGGGCAGGCACTGCTTACTAGGTGAACCAACACGTATTTCCAATTCTCCCTTGCTCACGCTGCTACAGACTCCAGAAAGTTAAGTGTTTGCATTCCCAGCCTTGCTCGTAGCGAGAGGAGGCCACGTGTCCCCATCTGCACAAAGAGATTCTTCTGTGGCAACTTGATCTAACCCCGGCTAATTCTGCAACTCATCTTTTGACAGGGAAACAAAAGTATGGATTGTTGCCGCTAAAATTTTCTGGATTTTAGTCTCAAAAATGCCTTCAATATCACTTGTCCATCCTTCCCTAGTGCTTGGCTAGCTCCTTTTCCCCCTCTCAGCAACTTTCCCCAAATCATGCTGCTTTGTCCTTCCTACTCTCTTGTCACTCCTCTCTTAAGGACCTCAGATTCTCATTAAGCCTTCAAAGGAATCATCAACACTTGCTTTCTCTGTGGTCTTGCCTTCTATTAACTCTTCCACATGCCATAATCCTTCTGCCTTCACCTCTTTATTAGAGCATTATTCTAATCATCACCAATGATATCCTAATTGCCAAATCCAATGGGTGCTTTACAGTCCTAATTTCAGAAAGGCCCTCTGCTATGTTCAACATAACTGGCCATTTCCCTCTTAAAATTCCATTTTCTTTTGGCTTATATGGCACCCTACTCCTCTGGGTGTCCTTTAACCTCTCTGACATTGTTTTCATCATTTCCTTCCCCGGATCCTCTTCCTTTAGCCCACCCATAAGTGCTGGGGTTCCCAGAACTTTTTTCTCCATTGGTCTCCCTTACTTGTCATTCTGTATGTTCTCTTTGAGTGAGCTCATCCATCTTCATGGTTTTTGCTATTATCTAGGGATTGAGGACCTCTAAACTTCATTTGGTCAACTGTGCAAGCTAGCCTTACCTGTACATCCCACAGGCATCTCAAATGCAATGTGTTCTAAACTAAACTCATTATCTTCAGCATCTGCTCTTTATCCTGAATTCCCTCTGCATCAGTGGTGTAGCAATCTAGGAATCTCAGTTGCAAGCTTGAGAGTAATTTTTGAGCCTCTCCTCTCCCTCACTCTCCTTGGCAAAGACTAATTTCTGCCAATTTCATTTCCTAAATGTCTCTTAATATCTTTTGTCTTTTCTGGATCTGCTGTGACTTTCTTGGTTTAGCCCTCATCTCTGCCATGAACTACTGCAAGAGGAGGCCTCATGCCTGGCCACTACTTTAATCCAATCCTCCATATTCAGCTCATTAAATGAGTTAGAGAGTCAGAGTTATTTATCAAAAACACAGATGAGACTTTGTTAATTTCTTGTAAAAATAACATCAGTGGTTCCCATTGCTTATGCGTTGAAGTCCAAGCTCCTTAGCAAGGCTTTCCATGATTTTTGATTTCTGTCCAACACTGCAGTTTTTCTCCATTTCTCACCATTTTCTCCTTCCTCTCCAACCTCTCTCCTTTCCCTTCCTGGCCCATCAATCTGACACCTTTTTTTTTTTTTTTTCAAAGATTTTATTTATTTATTTGACAGAGACAGCAAGAGAGGGAACACAAGCAGGGGGAGTGGGAGAGGGAGAAGCAGGCTTCCCGCGGAGCAGGGAGCCCGATGCGGGGCTCGATCCCAGGACTCCGGGATCATGACCTGAGCCGAAGGCAGATGCCCAACGACTGAGCCACCCAGGCGCCCCAATCTGACACCTTTTTAAAGGAGATTCCCTAAACATATCCTGCTGTTTCAGGATTCTATATCTTGGATGGTTTTTAATCCTCTTTCTAATCTATTCATGCTTTCTGGCTCAGAAAGTGTTTCCTGATTCTCCAGGCCGGGTCACTGGCATCTCTGGGTTTGTTTGTTTGTTTGTTTGTTTTCTCCACACAATTCTATTACAGTAGTTACCATATTCCATTGACATCTGTTTATCAGTA